ATTCGCTGCCTTTTAATTCCTCCAGCAGATGGAGCATTTGCTGCAGGTGTGGCAGGGCAGAGCTGGCTGAGCCCAAAACGAGCCCTTATGCCCTTGCTGCTCAGTGTGGGGCTGGTGCACCCCATCCCAAGGACACTTCAGAGGAGCTCAAGGAAGAGGCTGCGCCTAGTGTTAACCTGCACGGCAAAGTAAGGACTGGCAGAGCCCTGGGGAGTTTGTGTGGGGAGCTAAAGGCTGGAGGTGACAGGGAACCGACACCCAGCTCAGCAGCAACATGTCCCCCTCGCACTGAGGCAGGGGGCTAACAAAGAGATTCACAGTCCAGGACATCCTGAGAAAATGTCACAGCCGGAACCTGCAGTGTGTGGAGCTCAGACATCTTGAAATAACACCTCCAAGGGGCTTAAAAACACAAAAACAAACAAACAAGAAAACCCAACTCCAATGGTGGGGATTCCACAAGCTCCCTTGGAAGCTATTCCAGAGCTCAAATACCCTCCTGGTTAGAAAGTTTTCCTAATCTCTACCCTAAATCTCCCTCCCTGCAGCTTAACACTTTTAGGGTCCTCCCTTCAGTGGCCATGGAGCACAACTGATCCCCAGTCTCTGTATAACAGCCCTTAGCATGGCTGCAGACCATCCCCAGTCTGCTTTTCTCAAGACTAATAGACCCACTTCTTTTAGCCTTCCTCCACAGGTCGGGTTTCTGAACTTCTGTTCATTTTCTGTTGCTCTCCTCAATCCAATTTGTCCTCATCTTTCCTAAAGTGTGGGGTGCCCAGAACTGGACACAGGACTCCAGCTGAGGCTTCCGCAGTGTCCAGCAGAGCAGGACAATGACCTCCGGCAACTTACATACACCACTCACATTAATACACCCCAGAACGATACCAGCCTTTTCCCCAGCTGCGTCAATGGGTGACAGCCAGACAGCATCTGAGTGAGTCCATTAAAGACGATTCGCCCTCCCCCACCATGATTCAAGACAAGGGACGCTGGGAGTTTGAGAAACTAAATTCTACTTTATTCTTTTCAAAGCAAGAAATAAAAGCTAAATCCCAACCCCCTCCTCCAATCCAATGCCCAGCTCGGCACGGTGCATTTCAGCACCAGCTCGGCACACTGCTGCTCCAGCCACACACGCGCCCCAGGGAAAGAGGAACAAGTGAAAGTTGGTAGAAAAACGCTAACAATCCATGAGAGAGGCATTTGCCCGGCCTCCTCCTCTCAACAATGGGGAGTCGCCGACCCCTCTCCACATCAATCCTCTTGGGGCATCATTGGTAGCCCTTTAGCATTCAACGACGACTTCACCCAGCACTCGTAGGACATTTCCTCTCTCTCTGGGACATGTGCAGTGAGTTCATAGTTCTCAGACTCAGCTCTCTGGCTCGCAAGAGCAAACAGTGCCCTTTCAAGGCCCTAGTCACCCACCCACCCACCCTCTCCCCCTCCTGACTGTATCTTACATCTCTGCAGGGATCAGGCAGTCACTTCCTTCCCCATTTCAGTCCCTGACTCCTGGAGTGCGTATCCAGCACTCGCCCTCATTGTTTTGCTGACAGACACTGGTCATTTTCATTGTTCAAAGAAGAAGCAAATCTGATGTGAAAAGAAAATCAGTAAGGACTATTTTGGCAAATTATCATTTGTCTTTTGAAGTCCCCAAGAAATCTGAACTATATCCTTTAAAACTCATTTAATATCAAAATACACGACAGAACGGCCTTCACCAAAAAGAGAAAAACCCACACTCCAGGGTGGGATACAAACCACTTTCCCGTTCATGAAGTGAAATCCCAGAGAATCCTAAAACTCAAAATCTGGGGAACAAATTTGCCCATTTCCTGCTGAACAGGCTAAAGATGCTCTCCTCAGCACCGCCGCATTCTTTGGCTGGTCATTGACCAAAGTTTTAGCATCATCGTCATAAAAGAAAGGGGAAAAAAAGACAAACAACCAAAAACTTCCTGTCTACAAATGATCTGGATTTGGCTGGAAAAACTCCAGATGCCACTTTACCAATAGATAGAGGCTGGGACACTGCGGTAAATGACACAGATGAAGGTGGAGGGGTAGAAAGGGAAAAGGATAAACTCTCCACGGTTTGGGCAGAGGCTGCTCTGTGAGAGAAGATGTGTGAGGTTGACAGGGGCAGGAGGGAATCCCCCGGACTCACCCCGTCCATCTCAAATAACACAGAAGTTAAAACACCACATTATTTTACTATCCCTGCTCCAGCTCTTTTAAACTCTATTGAATGCTGGTGTAAAAGGGAGAAACAGCACAAAAAATTACATGCTTTTTAGCATAACCTGGAGCAATGTGAGGATGTCTGGGAATGAGA